TCTTCGGGGGGGGCACCCCTCACCTATTAGATGACAATTGTGCTTGGTTCATGAGATTTGGGTGAGGTTGCCTCCTCCTTCCTTACTCCTGTGAAGGGTGGGACATGTGCCATTCATGCTCCAGGCTGGCTCGTCCCAAGTTCTCCTTGAGACTTCTGCAGGAGCCATCTGGATCCTGAGCATTAAACAAGAGGCAGGCTTGGAGCAGCCAGCACCCTCCTGCTACCAAGAGGGCAGCCTAGGACCTGTGTCTGTGTGAGTACAAGCTGAGGTAAGCAAGCTGTGGCTGACTTCCATCTATTTATGTTTTCCACGGGCTTGATTCTCTCTTTGACATTCTTCTCTAATTGTCAATGTTTTTGTCACAAGCTTTCTCAAGTCCTTCATGGAATGAATTAGAGGTATAACTAAATGAGTAAATGAAGTAAGACATTTTATATAAAATGATTCTGTACTTCATGTTATCCTCAGAATGCCTCTATGAAGGCAAGGAGAGGATGCATTAATATCCCCATTTTCAGAGAAAGAAAATGGTCAGAGAGATAAAACCATTGTCTTGGTAGGTTTTTAATATATCCCACCCAGCAAGTGGCAGAACTGTGGCTACAACTCATCTCTTTACTTCCAATCCAAGGTTCTTTCTATTATATTATACATTATCATATATAAGTATGCATAATACAGTAGATTATAATATATTATAATTAATATGCCAGTTATACTGTACTTAATACACCCATTGTATTATATTCTATAGTACTTAGAATACTCAGATTATTTCTTTTCAAATCTAGTTCCCTGTTGTATTTCTCTTGTCTATGCATCTTCATGGAGATTGTTTCTAACCCGTAGCTATTTTGTCAGAGTCCTATTGAATAAACAAATGTAAATGGGCAATCAGTCTCACTTGAACTCACATATGTAAAGCACTTTCTTGGAGGGTTGAATTACTTTAACTGACAGCCTCACCCACTGGGTGGTAGCTTCCAGACTACGTGTATGCCACCTGCTGCACCCAAGCAGTATTTTTGGTGATAATCAGTGATAGAGCAACAAAGAGTAAAAGCAGAAGTTACAAACCTGACTTCCTCTGGAACCTTAGGTAAAAAACAGAGCAGCAGTTGTCAGGAAACCAAGCAGTGACTCCCCCCACCTCCCCGCCATCACTGCAGCCAGAAGGTGGCTCTTGTCCTCTGCAGGTTCTGAGGAGAGAGGCCTCGGACTCAAGCTGGACATCTGCTGACACTGCGGGGGAGGGGGTGTGAGGTCAGGGATGGGGCAGGGGTCCCAGTGAGTTTTGCCTTAGTTTGAAACGGATAAGTGGATGTTCAGTTATTTGTCCAATGACCTGGAGTGTAATCCACTCCTCTCAGGCTAGTGTGAGACTGGCTGCTAACTTTCACAATTTCTAGTAGTCTCTATTTCCAGTATGAGTCACTGAGGAACCCCAATTTTTTTTCTTTTGGCTGTGGCACATGGCTTGTGGGATCTCAGTTGCCTGACCAGGGACTGAACCTGGGCCATGGCAGTGAAAGTGCGGAGGCCTAAGCACTGGACCACCAGGGAATTCCTGAGGAACCCCAATCTTAACCAAATGCCCTTTCTCATCGACCGACATGCTTACAGTCTTTCCTCTGGAAGGGAAGCGTGTAACCCAAGCTCAAGCAACACACAAATGACATTGAATAGCAGTGCCTCACTGCGCTGGGCCCCCAGGCCATTGACAGCCTCACATAGTAGTTTCCAGCATGTTCTGTGGTCAGAGAGAGAATGAAGGATGCTCCTGCTCCAAATGGGGCCAAGCTGGTCCCCAGGCTGACATCCTCATGATAAAACCAGTACAGGATCGGGGAGAGCCTCTCTGGGCCTCACAGAGAAGCTCCATCACGTCCCCACCACAGCCTGGGCTCCGGGAGCCCTGAGGGTGAGGACGGGGCAACACACAGGGCCTGAGGGGGACCGCGGGCTCTCAGAGAGGGTCTCTTCCTCTTGACAGTTCACCATCTACCCCTGCCTCTGTTCCCACATTCCAGATTTAATCCTTAGCTCAGGGCTGTCCAACAGAACGTCCTGCAATAGTGGAAATGCTCTATAGACCTGCTGCTCAGTATGGCAGCCACGACACGCATATGGCTGTTGTGCACTTGAAATGTGACTAGTGTGAATAAAAGAGAAAATTTTTTATTTTAATTAATTTAAATGTAAACAGCCAAATGTGACGAGCGGCCACTGTATTGAACAGCACAGCTGTAGAGGCATTTACCCCAGAGCTGTGAGGATGAATTCGAGGAAGCCTTTCTCCAGCTGGCTGACAGCAACAGTATTCTTTCATCTCTTTCATCTTTACTATCTTATTTTTTCTACCGAATTTGTAGTTCTCCTAAAGCAGATATTTATTTTGGAAGGTCTGCCTCTATCAGAAAAGAATTAGCTCTTCACAGCTCTTGTCCCTATGATTACCTTAAGATGTTCTCGTGACGCAAAGGTTCCCTGAGCCCACTTTGAGTACCTCTGACTGAACTGTGGGTGGATGGAACTCACTTCTCATAGTGATATTTACTGCCTCACTCTGGATGAAACCATAGCTGTTGTCAGCTGTAGAGTAGTATCCCCCAGCCTGGCCCTCCGTGATAACAAGGATTTCCAGCTCTGCTCCCTGGAAATGCCAAGTTTTGGTCCCCAGACTCTCCTTCACGTCCCCTCTGTGTCAGGAAAAGGTGATGTCCCCTGCGCCTTCAGACACAGAGCAGACAAGGACCAGTGTCTTCCTTTCAATCACCTGCCCTCTGCGGGCAGAGTTTCCACGGAGACACAAGACACAGGGCTCCCTGTGTGAACAGGAGACAGCAGGTGAGGCTTGACTCTTGGGAACATCAGGGCTGAAGTGGTTGGTATCACCCTAAAAGTGACAGCAGATGGAGTTGGAAATTTTGAGTAAGATCAGGAAACAGAGATCTTTGTAGAGTACGAATTGGGGATGCTGGGTGTCAATCCTGAGTATATTTCTGTGGGAGGCAAGATTCTCACTTCTCAGCCTTCGGTCACATGAGGTTCCTTATCTCATAATGTACTCAATTCAGGAGCTTATTTCCCCTAGGGGGCCAGGATGGGCAACGCCAGGGAAAAATCTTTGGGCTTGTGCTTGGTGACAATAGGCAGAAGTCTTGTGTTGAGAGCTAGGAAGAATAATGGAAAATATTAGCCCTCCTTTAAAGGGACATCACTCAAGATGATAAACTGCTTCTATCCCTTCTTTTCAGACCTACCTCAAGACCCTCTGCTTCAATACTATCTTCTCTAATTGCTCCGATATAAAATGGGTCTCTCTGTTCTCTCAAATCCTATTGTGTTGGATTAGGTACTAGGCCACTCTCTAGCTGACTGTCAGCTCCCTGCAAAGCCTCTATAGCATAATAATAGGCACCCAGTATATATCTGATTATATTACAATAAGAAAGGTAAAGTTAAGAGGACTGTGGTGGACATTCTGAAGTTTTATGATTTTTTTTTTTTTTTTTTAGTCGTACGCGGGCCTCTCACTATCGTGGTCTCTCCCATTGCGGAGCACAGGCTCCGGACGCGCAGGCTCAGCGGCCATGGGCCACGGGCCCAGCCGCTCCGCGACATGTGGGATCTTCCCGGACTGGGACACAAACCCGTGTCCCCTGCATCGGCAGGCGGACTCTCAACCACTGTGCCACCAGGGAAGCCCATGAAGTTTTATGATTCTTGAAGCCTCTCGGTAACCATTCCAGTCCTAAAGCATTGTTAGAAATGAGAGGAGCTCAGGATAGCCTCAGGATCTCTCTGGAACAGATCCCCGTCCCCATCTTATGGGAAAAGAAGGAACTAAGGTCTGAATAACGCCCTGCCCTACCTCCCTTTTTCCAGCCCCAGTGGCCCTTTTCACCAAAACTCACTATGCACATAAATTTGGAATCTCTGGCTCAGTTTCCAGACACAGGAAGTCACTTCCGTACCTTGTACCAGGAAGACCCTGAGTCTTCTCTCCACCTGGCAGCTGTCTGGAGCTTTGGGGAGTTGCCCCAGCATGACCCCAGGTCCTAGACATCTCTGAAGAGGTGAAATTGAAGTTGGGCATCTGACTCTGTGGAGAGAGCGGAGTCTCACAGGTTAGGGTTACTAGACTCTCCTTGGTGGGCCAGACGGTGTTAGCTGTCAGCACAGGAGGTGGAAACAGCTCTAAAGAGAAGAACAAACATAATCCCAAGGCAGCGAGGCTCAGAGCACCTGGAGAGACTCATCTATGCTCTCAGCACTATCAAATAGGTCTTACAAAACCAAGCCAACAGAATCACCACCCAACTCCCTGGCACAACTGAAGTATCATAATTTCTACCCATGGCTTTCTAGGGAAGCTTGATGAGCACACCCTCCACCTCCCTGCTCCTTGACGAGCCTGGTTTGCACCCAACCCTGCTATACCTGGAGTGTAGTCGTTACCTTGAATTTTGACCCTTACAAGGTTTGAAGTTCTTTGCCACAGAGATACATAACCTTTCTCAGAAAGCAGTGCAATTATATAAGCCATCGTATCTGGAGACCGCTTTTGGTATGCTGAAGCTTGAGTTCCTTGTAAAAGCAGCAAGTTTTTTCTTTTTTTTTTTTAACATCTTTATTGGTATAATTGCTTTACAATGGTGTGTTAGTTTCTGCTTTATAACAAACTGAATGAGCTATACATATATGTATACCCCCATATCTCCTCCCTCTTGAGCCTCCCTCCCACCCTCCCTATCCCACTCCTCTAGGTGGTCACAAAGCACTGAGCTCATCTCCCTGTGCTATGCGGCTGCTTCCCACTAGCTATCTATTTTACATTTGGTAGCGTATATATGTCCTTACCACTCTCTCACTTCGTCCCAGCTTACCCTTCCCCCTCCCCGCGTCCTCAAGTCCATTCTCTACGTCAAGCAGCAAGTTTTTTCCCATCCTTGTAGTAACTAATTTCATTCAATTCCCCTCCCTCCCTTCCCCAGCAGCTCAGAATCACTCTATCTCCTTCAAAGATAGAGTGTGGGACCTGGAGAATCAGCCAGTCTGCAATAGACAGTAGACACTCAATTCACTCCTTGATTTTCCATCCTCTGGGTGCCTGTTGATATCTTGCACTCACTTTCCCCACAAAACCTATCCATTCATAGTTTCTTCGATGACAGTTTCGCTTTTTCCTCATGAATTTTACCCCTCATTCAGGAGCAGGTGATTTCTGAAGCCTGACCCTCCTCTCCCTCACCTGAAGAGACCACAGGGTCACTGGGACTCAAGTTCAGGGTACAGCACTGGTGCTTTCCAGGATGTGTCTCTTAAATAGCATTTGAAATGAAATTTGTAGTCCATATTCTTTCATAGGCTCATCATGCTCTCTCTGTTCCTGGGTAGAGGGATGCTTTGCATGTCATTGTTACCACTGTGCCTTGGAAGATGGTGGTCCTTGGAGGATGGAAGAGAGCACAGCTTTTGGTTGGGCAGCAGATGGAACGAACCTGTCATGAATCAAGTTTCCACTAGGCGCGAGGCACCTAGCTATACTCTTTACATGAGGTAACTGAATCCTCACGAATACCCATGGGGTCATTATCATCATGTCTAATTTGTAAACATGTAAGTCAGTGGGGGATCAGGCCATTTTGCCCATGGTCACAGAGCTAGAGTGTAGCAAAGATAGGATTTGAACCTCAGTCGCTGAATTTTAAGGCCATAGTCTTTCTACTAAACCATGCTCTCTGCTTGAGAAAGAAAGAGAAAGAGAAAGAAGAGACCCTAAGTTTGGATTGGTTGCGAAAACCCTCAACCCTTGCTTGGCTGGTGCCAAGGAAGTAAGGAGTCCACATTGCTCTGGGGTAGTTATGGGACGTCCTCGTATGATTCTTTTTTTTTTTTAAATTTTATTTATTTATTTATTTATTTATGGCTGTGTTGGGTCTTCGTTTCTGTGTGAAGGCTTTCTCTAGTTGCGGCGAGTGGGGTCCACTCTTCATTGCGGTGCGTGGGCCTCTCACTATCGTGGCCTCTCCTGTTGCGGAGCACAGGCTCCAGACGCGCAGGCTCAGTAATTGTGGCTCACAGGGCTAGTTGCTCCCCGGCATGTGGGATCTTCCTAGACCAGGGCTCGAACCCGTGTCCCCTGCATTGGCAGGCAGATTCTCAACCACTGTGCCACCAGGGAAGCCCCTTCGTATGATTCTTTATGAGTATCAGGGCAGAAATGAATCAGACAAATGAGTAAACAGTTCCTCCTCCCACACCCCAAAACAGCTCTGACTCTTGCTCAGACCAGGAAATAACAAGTTGAAACAGGGTCAATATGAAATATTGAGTTTGTAGGTAAAAAGGATGGAAATGACAGGAGTTTGTTCTGAGCCTGGGTCAAAGATTTGGGTGAGAGAGTTCCTGTGAATATTTCTGGCAGAGCTGCCTCCCTGTTCCTAAAATGGATTTCCAGCTGGGGTGCTCCCAGGACACTTCATGCACCTGCAACCAGGTGAAGACACTGTCTCCTTACCTGTCTTTCCTTTGTCAGGTGCGTCCTCCTCCTTTTGCAGAAGAGGTCAGAAAGTCAACTCTTGAGCAGAGCAGAGCGGGAAGGTGCCAGGAACAGAGAGGTAGATAGGACTAGAATGACTGGGCCTAGGGGAAAGGGGGACCCTTCCCTGCAGCTGTGGGGAGAAGGATTGGTACAAGTTTCCCCAGGCTCCTGTGCCGGGCACTATAACTCCAAGGCGATGAAGAAGAAACAAAGAGGAACTTACAGGACTCTCCTCAGCCAGGAACTGCAAGAGAGAGAGACATGAGAGATTAGCCCAGTACAGGGATCCCGTCCTCAGCTGCACACTCCCACTTTATCTGCCTTTCTTTGCCTTCTCTATGTTGCCCTGTCCCTACCCAAGCAGCTGATGGACACTTCTTCAGTTCATCCTCAGGGCCTATTGGCTACTCAGCAGTTCTCTTTTTTGGTCCCAGACGTTAGTGTGGAATAGCCCAGAGGCAAGAAGAACAGTGGAGAAAGACGTCTAGCCCTTCCCTTTTCTCGGCACTGGTCTCCCTTACCTGCTCTCTGTTTTGACTTTGGTGTCCAGAGAAGGGTTTAGCAGAAGTCTGATCTCACCAAGTTCTCATCTGGGGGATTGTCCCTTTATAAGGGCACTCAGTGGAAGCAACTTCTTTGTTCACGCACTCATTTATTCAACAAGCGTTTGGTAAATACTTACTGTGCCAGGAGTGGGTCTAAATATTAGAGTTACCAAGAATAAGACACTGCCCCTACCCTCAAGAAAATTACAGTCTAATGGAGGAGATGCTAAGTTGATAAGAAATTACAATACAGTGTAATAGGGCTATGACAGTGGGAAGAGAGAGAATTGTTAAGAACACAGAAGTGGGTATCAAACTTCTTTTTACCGAATAACAAAAGACCATTTATGTAGTTTTGCAATGTAACAGGGATACATCAAAGTAAAAATGCTAAGCCTACTGTCAGAATTGAAGTTTGAAACCCTTATTTTTCAAATATTTTAAATATTATTTATATTAAAAAAACATAACTTCCCATGTATATTTTCAATTCCACAGCTCATCAGATTTCACTATTTCCTTCCAAACATTTTTCTTGTATGTGTATTATCTTAACCTAATTTTAGTGCTTGTTAAGACACAGTTTAGAATTCTGCTTTCACTTCTTTGATATTATCATATTATAATAAATACAGTGAACATCATGGTGCATATTCTCTTCTCCATGCTCACCCCTTTATTTTAGATTCCCAGAACTGGGATTCCTAGGTCAACATACATGCCATTTTTTAACTGGCTTTCCAGATATGCTTTACCACTTCCGCTGCCAGGAGCAATGTGACTGCATCTGCTTCACTCAATCTTCCTGCACTGGGAAACCAGCATGTGGCCCTCTGGGATTATTGTTGCTGTTGCAAATTTATTGACTGTAAACTGTACCGCCATGTTTTAATCTGTGTTTCTTGAATGGATTTACTCATTCATACAAGAAATATTAACTGAGTACAGCTACGTGCCAGGCACTCTGCTAGGTTTTAGGGATAAACGATGGTTTTTGTGAAGCGGGTGATCCAGTAAGCAACTGCTGCAGGAAGTGTCTTTTTGTAGATCATCATGATCTTTATCCATTTACCCAAAACATTTTCAAGTTTTTTTGCCAATTTATATGAATTCTTTGCATCATATCTCAGCTCTTTGCCTTATTAGCTGTAAATATTTTCCAAAGGTAATACTCATTTTTATTATAGTTGTATTATTATCATATTACAGACATATCAAATGTTTATTTTAGAAAATCTTCTCTGAATTTTCTACTACTTCAATATTTAGGAAGACATAATCTGTATAAAAATCCAATACAGTCTTAATGCATTTTCCATGTTTTTGAGAATTAAAAAAAATACACTTATTTCTTAATTATCTGGTTTATTTTAAAATTTACAGTGGAATCTGTAAATATCTATTGTGTGATGATGTCTATTTACCATAAATTAAGCTAATATGTAATTGAATGTATTTCTAGATTTCTATTATTTTCCATTGATCTATATTTATATCTTGTACCCATAATATCATCTTTTCATATTTTTCTAGAATCTATTTTTTAAATATATGAATTAGATTTCCAATGTTACTCTTTTTTTTAAAAAAATCTATTCTTTGATACTCTCACCAATAGATTTTTCCAGATAAGTTTTTGAACATTTTATTGAGTTCCAAGGAAAATTCTTCAGGTAGTTTGATTGAAATAATATAGAATCTATAAATCAACTTGGGGAGAACTGACATCCTTATAACACTTCTACCTTAGTGTTCCTATCCAGACTAATGACACGTCTTCATTCATTGAAGTTTTCTTTGTACAGTTTTATAGATTTCCTTTTATAAGTCAAAAAACATTTTTATCACTCCTATTTTTTCACTTTTGTGGCTATTTTAGATGGAATTTCTTCGCTATAATCTCAAACTAATATTTGATAATATTCAAGGAGGTCACTGTTCTGGTTGTTTATCTTGAATCTTCCTAATTAATTCATATTCATGTACTTCAAACTATACCACATAGATGATATAATCAAGAATAGAGGCTGCATAGTTCATAACACAATAGCAAACAAGCAAATGCCAAATAAGTGTGGTGGGAATGAATAAAGAATGAATAATATATTTTAAATCTTGCCTTCCAATGTGTATGCCTCTTACTTTTGCTACTAATGTTAGCGTACCGGCAAAATTTAAAAACTATGACAAATGATAATGATAGCAAGCCTCTTGGTTCTAGCTCCAATTTGAATGGCAATTTTAGTCTTGTTCTGTTATGTATAATATTGGCTGTCAATCTAGAACAGGTATTCTTTGTTATGTTAGGTAGGTAGTCTTCTGTTCTGTGATACTTATTTTAGGAATAGGTATTGATTTTTTTATACCTATTCTAATACCTTTGGCACCTGTTGTCACCATAAGTTTTCTCCTATTTAGCATTTTGATGTGGTTAATTATATACTAACTGTTGATTTATCTATTCTTCAATTCTGACACAAATTCTACTCGGTAGTAGTTAGTGTAAGATGAAAATACTTAACACAAGCAAATTGCTAGAGAGCACTCAAAAAATATTAACATTTCTATTGTCATCATTTTTATTTTGACACACTGCTAAATTCTTATTTAAGACGATAGGGGCCCACATTCCAAGGAAAGCTTTCCCAGTCCATTTTACCCCTAGAGAATGCCTGAGGGCAGAGCCCAAGGGAATTATGGGCATCTGAGACTAGTGCTCTGGGGAGGCTGAACAATCCATCCCATCCAGGTCCTGCTCTGTGGTGCCCGCTCACCTAGAACCAGCAGCAAATCCACAGCAGCATGGAGTCTTGTTCCAGGAGACTCAGAAGCAGTTCCTCTTGGAAATTGATGGTTGCACTTGGATCTGAGGACAGAGGCTGTCCACAGTGGCACCAATAAGCGTGGCCCAGAGATTTTGAAAAGGGGAAGCCGAGGACACTGCTATTTGCTAATTGCCATTTCCTCTGTTGTGGGTCCTAAGGAAGTGAAATTGTTCTCTTGTTTATATATCTGCTTAAATATAGGTCAACAACGTAGCTAAAATAGTCAAGGAGTCATCCAGGAACTGTAAGACTTGGTATCCCATTATAACAGTTCAAGTCTCCCTAGTTTCTGTGTCTGGGGGATTTCATTCATTCCTTTAACAATTATCTATTGTTTATTTACTGTGTCTTATGGGCTGAGTTATATAGGTGACCTATATCTCCCTGGCCATGTTGTGTTGAACCAAGCTAATGATCCCTGCCCTCATGTAGTTTCTAGTCTAATGAGGGGAGAAAGCCTTGATAGAGAATGACATATCATCTATTTTCCTGTTAGGATCAAAAAACTTACTTGATGTCTTTCAACAGAATGCTTCTCATCTATCACTTGTTTATACTTCATGTGGTTCCTTATACGTAGTTTCTACTCTGCTCACACCCTGCAAACACACTCATGTGCTCTAGGGCCTATTGGCTCTCACCTTGAGCAGAAATCTCAACTTCTCCATTAAATGTTACTATGTGAAAACACTTAAACTAGCACCTGACACATACAAGAAATAAACGAATGAAAGGGGAATATCTGTCTGTCCCATACTTGTTGTGCACCAAATTGTTTCAGTTCACCTCCAGAGTATATGTGTTACCGAATTAGGTCTGGCGGCTCTCCACTCAAAACTCAAACTCAGGAAAGACAAATGTTGGTAAAAAAGAAAGTTGCTTTTAATCAGAATGCCGGCAATCTGGGGAGATGGTAGACTCAGCTTCCCCAAAAAATTACCTCCGAAGACTCTGCTAGACCATGAACGTTTTAAAGGAAAAAAAGGAAATAATCTCAGTTAATCTTTGAGATAGGGGGTCAGGGTCATGGCTATCCCCCATGGCATGCAGGCCCATTTACTTCTTGTGATCTTCCTCTAGATGTTATCTTGTTTACACAGTTTGGTCATAAAGTTTGTTCATGATATTACTGAAGACAAAGCTAAGGAAGAGATATGGTCATCTATTAATTACTTATTCTTCGTTTCTACTTCTTTGATCTAGGAAAGAACCAAAGAAGTATTGTGTGATCAAAAGATTTGAAAGGTCTGCTAGAGCCAGAGATGAGTAGAGCAAGGGGGTGCTTGGTTTAAAAGTTAGTAACAGGGCTTCCCTGGTGGCGCAGTGGTTGAGAGTTCGCCTGCCGATGCAGGGGACGCGGGTTCGTGCCCCGGTCCGGGAAGATCCCACATGCCGCGGAGTGGCTGGGCCCGTGAGCCATGGCCGCTGAGCCTGCGCGTCCGGAGCCTGTGCTCCACACGGGCCTCTCACTGTTGTGGCCTCTCCCGTTGTGGAGCACAGG